TCTGGGGGCCAAAAGCTCCCCCTTGTTCAGGTCAGCTGTTTCTTTGGGTTTCACCAGCCTGGTCTTAAAGATGTTCATTCTTGAGGTAAAGAAAAGAGAAAGCAAGCAAACTTAGATATGTAGACAAAAATGGATGCATAGATGTTTTGGTATTACAGAAGAAGTTTGTCTACAGAGGAGTAAGTTTTCTCTCTAACAGGTTGACAATTAGAAAAGTATCAAGTAATCATTCAAGGAAAAGATGTATCCTAGAGAATATACACTTCCTAAATAAGATTGGAGCAAGGAACTTCTGAAGATACAAATTCAGCATAAAAATAATAATGACTTTCCATAATGGAATGTTGTATGTGACTATTATCTGGTAGAACAACCTCCATCTTTGGATGTTCAGCTGTACCCACTTGCAAAAGACCATCCAGCTGGCCTTGTTGACTTCTAACATCCATTTATAGAAAGATGGGCCGAGAGGGTCACAGGAAAGTCACTAGTATCCAGACACTGAATACCACCTACATATACTGTTCTGCCCTATTTGCAGGTGGCCTCAGTGAGAAGCTATAAGCTTTATAAGTCAGGGAAGACTAGAGGAGAGAGACTTCATCTATGTGGTTATGGAGAAGCCATCATCTTTGCTGGGTAAAGACTACCCCGTGTGTCCCTTCTTGAGAGGTAAGACACCTATACTCTTGTAAGTACTCTTGTAAGTAATCCCTCACTTATGCTTTGTAAGTAAGCCCAATTAAATCATTGGTTCCCCAGTGAAGTTTGGTAAAATTGTATGTTGATTTGTTGTTGGAAACATAGAACAAGGGACAGAAACTGTTTCCATATTCTTCTGGAAAGGAATTTTAACAATGTGGAATACCCAAAGCTCTCCTGGCATGGGTAAAAAGAGCCTGCCACAGTTAGAAGCTGGGAAAGCATGAAAGAGCTCCGCAGAAGGGTGACTGGGTAATTATGTTGTTGCATCTGCAGCTAATCAGACCGTATCTGCTCCCTGACTGTTTTAACATGGAGACTCTGTATTTAAATACCTCATTCTTCTGAGTTCCTGAAAAACAGATTATTAGTATATTATATGTACATTATATATATACATAAATTATATATAATATGTATATAGAACCTTCACAGTTTAAAGTATGGCTTGTGTAATATTTGATGTATAAATATGCATCTTGTTATGAAGCTTAATGGAAAAGGGTTTTCAGCCCACTAAGTAACTCAAATATTACTAAAATTATTGAAACTACTCATAATTCCAATACTTTACTACTCACACTTTTAAAAGTTTATATGAATGAGACAAAACTGCATGTGACAGACTTTCAAAACATTGTCCTCTGATTTTACTCTGTATTTCTTAGTAATGTCACAAAGTTTGTGTCCAGATTTTAAACACACAGTATTTCTAGAAGCTCAATTTTTGTGTATTACTATAACATAAAAAGTAAAAAAAATTACAAAGGAAAACTTAGATTCTCTACAAATTGTGGTTGAATCGGATTCATTTAACTGAGGTGAAATCTAGATTGCAGACAACTTATCAGAGATCGTACAGTTCAATATTGCCACAGTAACTTGATAAACATGTTTACCAAACAATTCCCACAAGGAAGACCCTAAATTAAGTGCTGTTCGAGAGAGGTATTTTCCTAGAACAGAACATTATAGTCTATTCTTTGGTAAAAAGCAGAACATGCAGATGCCATTTGTATCTGTGGATGTTCTTCTGAATTGCAATGCATACAGAAATATATATGAAATAGGGTACTGGTGGAAAACTTCAGACAGAAAAGTTGAATAAATAAAATTACATATCAGAATGTCAGTAGCAATGAGACTGATGTGGAGAAAGGGATCCCATGGTTACTGAAACCAGTTGTAGGTATACTTTACTTGTTCTGGCAAGGTCAAGTGGTAGCCTTTCCTATACACATCAGCTAAAGTATGTGCACTGAAAGACGAATGCATTTAATGTCTTTTATTTTCTTTATTTATTTTAAAGCCAGTGACTGCAGTATCTTCAACACCTCATTTCTCCTTACCTGCTTTTTATTAGAAAGGTGGCCTATACCTCAAGGAGCAACTGCACCAAGGGCACCAGAGAGTCAAGGGCAGAGAGGAAAAACTCGCTTTGAACCTAAGAGATTTCAACTGACCCACGTCATAGAAGATGCTGTGTGAACTGAAGCATATGTATTGCAAATCAGTCACCTCCCTCCTCCCAGCTGGCACAGATGAACCTATTAGCATCAAAAGGACAATGGAGAGTGAATTTTAGAGTGAGGAATTGTTTTTTATCCTTGCAAATAAACAGACGTGACCCTTTAGAACCTTCACTTTCACGGTTATAATAGCATTCTGGATTATGAATGAAAATGTGTTCTCGGGAGTGGAGAAGACCAGATGTTAAGGGTCCTAACTGTGTCTGGGTTAGATTTGAAAAACTCAGTCAACCATAATAAGCTATAAAAACACAAAGTGTGTGCTGTTAGACCTACAGTTGGGTCTCAGCTCTGATATTAGTTTTATGATATTATCTCTCTGAAACTCCTTCCCCTCATTGAAAACAAGCATAATTGAAGTAACCTCATCATGTCTGCTCCAGTAAAATGATGGTTTCTGAATGTATTTGCCACAAGGTGAGGAAAAAAAGGTAAGTAAAACAATGATACCACAAAAGGTACGTAGTGTCAAGTGTAACTTAAGACCGCTGACCCTGGAGTTGGGGCTATCAAGACAACCAGTTACATTGCAAGGGCAACACTTGATCATTTTCATCATCAATAATATATGGATTAAAGCAAGCCTCATAGACACTTAAGTTTGTGAAGGATTTGAATTTAAAGTAAAAGAAAGAAAAGTGAACAGAGAGAAAAGCAAGGAAAGTCATGAGGCGAGGGTCTCAGGGCCAGGGTCTGGTTCTTTTCACTTGATCCATCTTCTTTTCTTTCAAGTTTTGTTTTTTGTTTAACTTTGCTGAGTTTTACTGAGTCCATATACTGCATCGCTGCATCCCTTATGGGTTGTGTGTGTATGGATGTGTGTGTGTGTTATGTTTGTATACCTACATATTTTCATGAAGACAATCTCTCCAAATCATCAGGAAGCCTTGTTCCCTAGGGAACGTTTACTCATCTACCTGAAGACCATTAGATATTGGCTTGTCCAAGCTAGAAAATCACAGACACTCCAGTGAACTACAGCTAAACAGTGCTGCTTTGAACCATATAATGAATTTCCCATTCCAAATTTCAGGACCTTGCATATGCTACTGGATCTTTAGCAATGCCTGGTTAGCTCTTGGTTAATAAGAGACTGCTCACCTAGCTCAATGGAAGTGTACATTTCAGAAAAAATCCATGGAATTATGGTATTGATAATAAATGAATATGCATTAGAATAAAATATCTCTTGTGTACATTTTCTAAGATTTCCGTAAAAAGTGTTCCAAAGCCAATAAATTTGCATTTGAAGTCATGTGCTGTCCCTAGGAGCTTAGTGGCTACTGAGGAAGCAGCAGCACAGGAGTCAGAAATCTGATCTCATTCCTTTTATAGTTTGACATCTGCCTTTCTTCTCAGCATGTATCTCGGGATCTCCAAGAACCCTTCATGGGAAGTTCTAGACATTGTCATTTGCTTCCTTAAAGTAACTTCTTTTTCTTGGTAGCCACTGCCAATAAATTGACTGGCAAATTCCTAAACATTTCCAAGACTGCACAAAAGACCTTCAAAACCTCTTCAAGGCACCTGTTCAGTATGTACTCTCTCAGGCCATGTATCTGTGCACAACTCAATACAAGTCCTGGTTTTATAAAGAATGCAGAGATTCAATGCACTGACTAAACAAAACTCAGGGAAGATTTAAAATTGCAAAGCAGTTGAAAGCCTAAAAGATGAATCAAATTAAAAAGACCCAGGTCCTCCCCTCACCTTCAACTCCTTTCTTAATAAACTCTAAAGCTTAGCTCCTGGTAGTGCCCAAACTTTAGCTCTGTTACCATCTGCCACCAGGGAGGAAGAGACACTTTTTTTTTTCAAAATAGTTTGAATACTCTTGGGACATACAATAGCTTAATCACCACTGGACTCATCAATCCCATGGCTGAGGGCAAAATGTCATCACTAGACCTTGCCTCTGTGAGTGAGGAATCAGAATGACTGAAACACATGACTTAAAATACTTACATATCAGGATGTGTGGAGAAGGCTGTAAAAAATCCTAGAGATGTTTATTTTCGCTGGTTTGTTTAAATGGATTTGAAATACCAGCAGCTACACAGTGACTCTAGATCTATAGACAGGTATATATCTTAAGACAATGGTCCTGTCATATTTTCTAGGCACACAAAGTTCTACTAGTTCTGAAATATAACACAAGTGAAAGAAATACAGGTACACATACACATACACACATGTTTAACAGAACACTTAATATGCATAAATTTCTTAAGTCATATATTTCTATTGCTAATATAGTATTTGTAGTGTTGGGAAATCTTGGGCAGCCAATCTTCATTGTTAAACCCAAAACTAAAATAGAAGATATTTTTAAAAATTTATGTGTGCGTGTGTGTTGCATGCACATGTGTGGGGGGTAGGCTGTGTGTGTGTGTGTGTGTGTGTGTGTGTGTGTGTGTGTGTGTGTGTTAGGGGAGGGCATGTTTGTGCTATGACATACTTGTGGAGGTCAGAGGAGAACTTGTGTGCGTTAGTGTTTTTTTTTTTTTATGTCCTTCTACCATGTGGGTTGTGGGGATTGATCCCAGGCAGCAAGTACATCTACCCACTGAGCTGTTTTTCAGGGTCCAAGTAAAATATATCTAGGAATTCTACTCATTTACAAAAATAGACAGAAATATTATTTACATACATGAATAATTTAATAATATATATATTTGTCTCCAATAAGAGCTTTGGATTTAACATTTAGATACTTTGTTCTAGTTACAAAATGCTATGAGAAATATTCTCATATATTTCAGATTATATCTATACTTTCAATGAGCCTTGGTGGCTGCCTAGTAGACTAACTTGCCCTTCAAAACAAGTTATATTGCCATCTATCTCAGATTCATTCTTCACTGGATGCTTTGTAGTATTGAATTCCATTTTTTTGTAAACTTGCTTTCTGCAGGAAGCCTCACATTTACTATGACGGTCCATTGGTCTTTTATCATTGAGATCTCCCAATTCAACACAGAACTCTGCTGTGGTTTGAGTACATTTGGGTTTTGGGGGCCCAAGTGTCCTGATTCTCTTAGCTCTACTGACTAAGTTCTTTCCCTTCTTCTGCTGCTCACTTGGGGACTGATACTTCTGTGTTTGTTGGCATGTGAGACTCTCACACTCTCCTCCAGAAGTTTGAGCATCACAGTTACCTTTGGAAGCACAGCTGGGTCTCCTCCCATCAGTTAAACAAACCTTGCCATTGTGCACTGGGGTAAAAGATTCCATCCTGCAGGCTGATGCACAGCTGGGCACACTTCCTTTTGATGGCCCACTGCATATCTTTTGGGTGAAGTGTTTGCTTCTGTGACTTCCCTTCATAGCGACATTACCCTGATCGCTGCATATCGATCGCGTTCTGAATCCAACACTCCACGATTTGGATGTTGATAAACTGGAACTGGATCGTGTTTGGATTCTTGTACAGTGGTGTGAACCAGCTTCTACACATTGGGAAGACTGGTTGCACTTTCCCTTCTTATTTCTAAAAGAAACCAGCATTTTATCATTTCCAGTAGGAGAGGGGACATTTCTGGAGATACAATTACTAGAATGATCAGTTTCTCTGGATTTGCTGCTTATCAAGGTCCCTTCTCTAGGCAATCTCTGAAAAGCCTTTGGTGAAGATTCTTCAAGCTTCTTTTTTTCTATTCCTTTGTTGTGATTATGTACCTGTTGACCAGGACCAGGACTGAAAACTTCTGTTTCCCTTAAATTGTACTTTCTTGGTGGTACCTGACTAGCACCCACTGATGGGCTATGGATGTGGGAACTTGTTCCACTCTTCTGAAGATCCTGGAAATTGCCGCGGAGCAGCTTTGTGCCTTCTGTCATTTTCTCTTGATCATCGTTTTTGTAACGCTCTGTGTTTCGGCTGAGTTCCCTGAGATTATCCCAATCCAGAAACGCATTGGTAGTACAAACCACGTCCTTAAAACCATCTAAATCCAATTCGTCCTCAGCCCAAACATGGAATTTGTTTGCTGTTTTCTGATGCATTGTTGAGGTTTGGGGGTTTTGTGAGGAATAATTACCATTTGGAAATTGTTTCAAGACAGAGGGAGGCCTCGGCCCAGTCTTTTTCCACTGAACCTGGGTGTTCTTAGACTGGTTGGTACCTTGTTGGGATATCAGGAGGGAAAGATCCTCAGGCAAAGGCAAGACTGGAGCTGAAACAGTGCTCTTGTTTTTCATCCATGTTGAAAGTGGACACTGATAGATGGCACTCCGATCATAGGTCTCCATGTTATAAGATGAATGAACAAAAGTGATGAACTCATGCAGAAAGTGATGAGTATGTTCTAGGAGATACGGCTTCAGCAGGTGAGTGAACGATTCACTGTCCAAGTTAAATTTTGTCATGTGGTGGAGAATGGCATCTAGAATATTCTTTATTGTATAGCCATAGTCTCCATACACAGCCATGAGTTCCCGTTTCAGCCAGGGAATCAGCCGGTGGAGGCTACTGGGATTTTTTTTGAAATAATTAGCTGAAAATTGCTTTTCCAATCCAGAGCCTTGGACATGTTTTACCCAGATTCCAGAATAATATAGAGCTCTCCTGAGCTTCACAACCACGTGATCTCTAAAGTGGCCCAAGGACCTGGAGTACGGTGGAAACCTCCCATCATCTCCAAACTTCCTCAGCACTTCTTGGATGGTCAGCTCTCTCAAGGATTTGTCCCTCTGTTGGGTGTTCTTTGACGTCTCGCTGAGAATTTGTCTTTGAGGGAAGCCCACAAAACTTTCCTCTTCTGAAGGGAGAAACACAGAGTCTTCTTTGTTATTCTGCAGCCTGTTAGGACAACATTGAGAAAGAAAGCGTTGCATGATGGGAGAGAGTGTGGATCTCTTCCTTGATACGGAGTATGATGCACTATCACCTGTCTTTCCAGAAGAGGAATTCCAATCAGACTCACCCTGAATGCCTTCCAAACAGTTAGGACACTCACAGTTGGACGAAAGCTCCACTGCCATTGGTTCAGCAGATTCTATTTCATGAACTGAATGTGAGAAAAAAAATGCTTCAAATTGGTTTCTTATCTGGTGTGAAAAATATATATTAAAAGTTCTCGATGTGTATTTTTTATAATGTCCTCTCTCTGTGGAATAAATGCAGGAATACAGTTAGGCGACACATTCTATCTCAGATTAGTGGTAACATGCACAGGAAACCCAGTGTATATAATGCAATGAAGATGCAGGCACATTAAAATTTTTCTTTTTCCAAGTAGTTTTCCAAGCTCTGAAAGGCAAATTCAAATAAAATAAAATCAGCATTAGCCCTGAAAACATATGCTTACAAGTAACATTACACAGACTAACTAATGAAAGGAAAAGAGGTCATGAATTTGGGAGGGAGCAAGGGGAAGTAGTACATGGAAGGAAAGTAAATGGAAATGATGTCATTATGTTATAATCGCTAAAAATTTTTAGAATTTTAATTATCATGTTCTTTGACCTGGCAATTCTATATGTCTTTAATTTATATATACAAGAAACTAACACATATTGACACTTTTAATGGCAGCAAACAAACTGAAACCAGCCTGGTCTACAAGAGCTATATCCAGGACAGCCTCCAAAGCTACAGAGAAATCCTCTCTCAAAAAACCAAAAAGGATGGAAGGAAGGAATGAAGGAAGGAAGGAAGGAAGAAAGGAAGGAAGGAAAGAAGACAGAAATAAAGAAAAGAAAATTACTTAAATATACATCAGTAAGAGATGTGTTGAATGAATGATGCTTTATTTATTGTGAAGTGAGGAGTCTTACATCTACCAAGACAAGAAGGCAACTGAATATGTTGTTAAATAAATACTTTGTAAACTCTAGGACAGTCAGGCATAGGCAAAGTGGTTCACTCTTGTTATATCAACCCTAGGGAGGTTGAGACAGAAGAATCTTGATTTCTATGGAACCCAGCTTGGGTCCTTAGAGATTATTATTTGATCCTAGTAATATTATTAACTAGATGCAATAAAACACATTAAATTTTCACTAGGAATAACAAATTGCAGCTTTAATATATACATCTATATGGATGATATAAAAAATTCTTGGAAGAGTGATTAAAAGCCTGTTGGGATCCAGAGAAGGATGTGAACCCTGGTCATTGCCCACATCTGCTGTTCTTGAGCTTGCCTTCTGATAGTCAGAACTGACAGCTACAAATGACAGGGGTCAAAGAATAGATGGTGTTTGAGGTTGAACATCCAATGCAAACACCTTCCTTAATCTGCATATCCAAATGTTTATGTGTTAAAAGACATTAGTTTTAAAAAATATCACCATAAGAGGAGTCAGCAAGAAAACTTATAACTAGAAATAAGTCAAAATATTTGCAGATTAAATTCAAGCAATGCATCTCTGAAAGGTCGCAGTAGGACTATTTTGTTTTAATTTTAAAGTGACTCTAATTGGCAAAGGTAAACACATTATGGCAGGAGCACACCACAAAAACTCAAGTTTCATGACAAATTCCCCATAAAATGAATTCACAATGAAAATCGGCAACAAGCTTGGTGGTGCAATACTGCAACTCTTCTTACATGGAAGGCTGAGGCAGAGGGATCATAAGTTCAGGGAGTTCAGTGCTATCCAGGCCAATTTAGCTAAGATCATGTCCCAAAATTAAAAATACAAAAAGGACTGAGAATATAGCTCATTAGAAGAACACATATTAAAGTTTGTGAAGCCATAACCTCAACACCTAGTACCATTTCAAACAGACAACAGCAGCAACAAGCAAGAAATTGGCTGTTTCAAGAATATACCTTCAAAGGAGTCAAGACCAGGCTGGTGAAACCCACAGAAACAGCTGACCTGAACAAGGGGGGTACTCTTGGCCCCCAGACTGATCATTGGGAAACCAGATGGGACTGATCCAGACCCAATGAATGTGGGTGTCAGTGAGGAGTCCTCGGAAATCTGTGGGGCCTTTTGTAGTAGATCAGTACTTATCCCTAGCATAGGAATAGACTTTGGGACCCCATTCCACATAGAGGGATAGTCCCTGAGCCTAGACACATGGGGGTGGTCCTAAACCCTATCCCAAAAGAAATGACAGTCTCTGAAGACCCCCTATGAAAGGCCTCACTCTCTCTGGGGAGCAGAAATGGTATGGGATAGGTAGGGTGCTAGTTGGGGGGGCAGGGGAGGAGAGGAGGCAGAGGGAATTGGGATTGAAATGTAAAATAATCTTGTTTCTAATTTAAATAAAAAATGGAGAGAAAAAATAAAAACATCAACAACAACAACAAAAAACAGACCTTCAAAAAATAGACAACAAACTTGGCTCCTAAGAAAATCAGAAAATAGAGATGAGCTGCTTTGGCCCCTGCCTTAGGCCCAACTTCTGCCTGCTCACTCTGGGAACTCCTGCCCTAGGGTCTGCAAGCAGATTGAATTGGCCCCTGAGGACCAAGCAACCCTGACTCTGCTGAGATCGCTGGGCTACTCCCGCCCCCATGGAGGCAGAGAGGTCAGCTGCTTTGGCCCATGCCTTGGGCTCAACTTCCACCTGCACACTCTGGGAACTCCTGTCCAGCGGTCTGCAAGCAGGTCGACTCAGTCCCTTTGGACCAAAAACCCGGAGTCTGCTGACATCACTGCACTAGTCCCACTCTCACCCACCTGGAGAGCAAGTGCCTCAGACCCGCTTACACCCACCTTGAGACCCATCAGAGTACTGGAGCCAATTGCAACCACTGGAAGAGAACGTTGGGCCCATACACACCAGAAAAGGAAGAGACACCACCTGCACTCATGGGAAGAAGAAATGGGAAGACAACGATATAAGAACACATCCAACAACAGGAAAACCAATATGACACCACCAGAGTCTAGGGACTCTATACCAGCAAGACACATACATCCCAACAATGAAGCAGAAGAGAGTAACCTTAAAAACAACTTCATGTAGATGATAGAGACCCGAAGAGAGGAAATCAGAAAATCCTTCAGACAAATGGAAGAAAAAAATGAACCAAAAGATGCAAGAAATCAAGAAAAGCCAAAGAAAACCAAGAAAATAGAAACAGTTCAAGACCTGAAAACTGAAATAGATACAATAAAGAAAACTCAAACTGAGTGAATGCTGGAAGTGGAAAAGCTGAGTAAACAATCAGGAACTACATATGCAAGCATAAGCAACAGAATACAAGAGATGGAAGACAGAATCTCAGACGCTGAAGATAAAATAGAGGAAATAAATTCATTAAGCAAGGAAAATCTTACGTCCAACAAATCCTTAACACAAAATTTCCAGGAAATATGGGACACCATTAAAAGACCAAACCTAAGGATAATAGGTATTGAAGAATGTGAAGAAACCCAACTCAAAGGTGCAGAAAACATATTCAACAAAATCATAGAAGAAAGCTTTCCCCACCAAGACAAAGACAGGCCAATGAAAGTACAAGAAGCCTACAGAATGCCAAATAGAGTGGACCACAAAAGAAAGTCCCCTCATCACATAATAATTAAAACACCAAACATACAGATAAAGAAAAAATATGAAGAGCAGCAAAGGAAAAAGGCCAAGTATCATATAAAGACAAGTCTATCAGAATTACATTGGACTTCTCCATGGAAACACTGAAAGCCAGAAAGACCTGGATAGATATTCTACCAACACTAAGAGAATACGGATGGCAGACCAGACTACTATACCCAGAAAAGCTTTCTATTACTATAAATGGAGAAAACTAGGTATTCTACGACAAAACCAGATTTAAACAATTGGTAACAACTAATCCAGTCCTACAGAAAGTACTGGAAGGAAAACTCCAACCTAAGGAAATTAACTATACTCACAAAAACATAGGCAATAGATAATCCCACTTTAAGAAAACCCAAAAGAAAAAGCAGGGTAAATCCACATACAATACCACTACTAATAACAAATCAAAAACAAACAAGAATAAGCACTCAATGGTCCTTAATTTCTGTCAATATCAATGGTCTTAACTCACCTATAAAAAGACAAAGACTAACAGAGTGTGTAAGAAGACAAAATCCATCCTTCTGCAGCAAACAAGAAACATACCTCAAATTCAAAGACAGACGGTACCTTAGATTAAAGGGTTGTGATAAGATAATCCAATCAAATGGACCCAAGAAAATAGCTGGGGTAGCTATCCTAGTATCTACCAAATTAATCTTCAAAGTAAAATCAATCACAAGAGTTGAAGAAGGTCATTTCATATTTATCACAGGAAAAATCTATCAGGAAGAAGTCTCAATTCTAAACATCTATGTCCCAAATACAAATGCACCAACATTTGTAAAAGAAACATTATTAACACTCAAATCACAAATAAGACCTCACACAGTTGTAGTGGGAGACTTCAACACCCCACTCTCACCACTGGACAGGACCAGCAGACAGAATCTTAACAAAGAGACAAAGGAACTACCAGATGTTATGACCCAATTGGGATTAACAGACATCTATAGAACTTTCCATCCAAACACAAAAGAATATACCTTCTTTGCAGCATCACATGGGACCTTCTCAAAAATCGACCACATTCTCGGCAACATAGCAAACCTCAACAGGTACAAACTAATTGGAATAAACCCCTGTGTCTTACCAGGCCACCATGTTTTAAAGTTAGAATTCAAATACAACACAAATTGCAGGAAACCTACCAACCCATAGAAATTGAACAACACACAATTGCACCATCCAGGGTCAAGGAAGAAATAAAGAAAGAAATTAAAGACTTCCTAGAATTCAATGAAAATGAAGACACAACATACCAAATTTATGGGACACTTTGAAAGCAGTACTAACAGGAAAGTTTATAGCTCTAAGTGCTCACATGAAGAAACTAGAGAATAGTCACAATATACAGTAGACATCACAGCTGAATGCTCTAGAACAAATGGAAGCAAATGCACCCAGGAGGAGTAGATGACAGGAAATAATCAAAATAAGGACAGAAATCAATAAAATTGAAACAAAGAAAACAATT